TTTTGTATACACACATATATGCAACATGTTATTTTTTCAGTGAAAATGAAATCCTACTAGGTTTCTGTTTTCCACTTTCCTTTTTAATTCAATTCAGTTTAATTTTTTTACCTTAAAAAAAAAAAAGCAACATTAGGCCTCCATAGAAGAATGGGGCATTATGAATGCTGCAGTCATCTGCTACCAATGAACATAAATAGCAACCATATCCAACTGTTAGGGAGGGCTGACCTTTCTAAATAAATACGATTTGACCATTCAACTAAAAAAAATATTGCTTATATATGGAAACTCCCTGTACATTTTTCAGCAGTTTCCTATAAATCTATAATTATTTAAAAATAAAAATTTAAAAATATATAGTTCTTATTAGGAAGATAACAACCTCCAGGAATTGAGGTAGCAAGAACCAATTTGTTAAGACAAGACAAAACCAAGCAAAACTGTTCTCCAAGAGAAAAAGGGAATCTCCCAACTTCTCATTTTTTTCTTTTTTTTAAATAACCTTATTGAAGCATATTTTTTCTGTCATAAAATATACCCATTTTAAGCATGCAGTTGAATGGTTTTTAGTAACTTTACAGAGTGGTGCAACCATCACCATAAATAAGTTTTAGAGTATTTTTATCTTCCCAATCATTTGATCCCTCATGCTCATATACCGTCAATTCTCTTTTCCACCCTTAGTTCTAGACAGCCAATAATCTACTTTCTTTCTCTATAGATTTCACTGTTTTGGACATTTCATATAATCATACAAAATGTGGTCTCTTGTGTCTGGCTTCTTTCACTTAGTAAAATGTTTATGAGGTTCATAAAGGGGCATGTGTCAGTGTTTGTTCCTTTTTATTGCTTAATTGTATTATGTTTTATGGCTACACCTCATTTCATCGATCCATTTTCCAGTTGATGGACATTTACGTTGTTCCCAACATAGGTTATTTTTGGCTATTGTATCTTTCTTTTTACCGACAGTATATCTGGGTAGATTTTTAAAATTAATACTTAAAATCTGTGAGTTTTTTCTGCTGTAGTCTTTTAAAAACACTGTTACTTCATTGTAGGGTATGCTGTCATTTGTTTAAAGTCATGTTAGTGGATGCTTTTGAATTGTTTCTAATTCTTAACTTGACAAACAGCACTGCAGTGAGTATTCTTCTGCATATTTTTTTGTATGTGTGTTTGTGATACAGAGTTCTAAAATGGAGTTTCTGAATCAAGGTCGTGAACATTTACAAATTTAGTAAAATATTGAAGAACACAAAACTTCTTTAGTCATAATTCTATTTGATGATAAGTTCTCTTATCGTGTTATTTGTACATTTGTGTATTTTTAGTTAGCCGAGGAAAAGAGAGTTCTGCTTACTCGAGTTAATGAATATGTTAAGAAAAAATATTTTTGTGTTAAAAATAATAGGAACATATCCACTTCAAGGTCTAGTGTAATGAAATGAATATACAATCCAGAAATTTTTCTTATTTTACTTTTCTTTGTATTAGAACCATCTACTATAAAGGTTGGTGGCTACTATAAAAGTTATAGAAATTGCATGTAGGTACTTTTAGTTAAAAAATACTGGGTAATCTCAAAATAGTGGCAGAATTGTGAGTTATGATTGTAACTTACAAGAGTGGTCTCTCTTCCTATTTTTCCAGAATTTCAAATATTTTGTGTGATGATGCTGAAGCCAAATAGGTTTAGACCACATTGCTTAGTCTCCTACTGTATTTTTTACATGTATGTGAAATGTATATTCAGTACATCATCAGCTTATCAAGGTTATAAAGTAAGTTTTTGATAAGGTGACAATAAAACCTGGTTTCTTTGTTAGACACCTTAACTTAGAATTTTTTGCTTTGTTTGTACCAAAGAAAAAGTTATGATTAACAAATATTTGTGTTAATAGGTGTATGGAATAGTTTAAAAAAAAGGTGCCTAGAGTCAGACTTACTGTAGTTTTTGACATCAGTAAATGTATAAATCTCAAATAGGTAGAAAGGACAGATCATGCAGGGTGTTTATGTTTAGCCCGTAGGGCCTTTTGAGGCAGGCTTCTTTCGCATCACATCCTTATTAGGAGGACTTTCCAAGTGAAGACTTGAGGGATGGAGTAGCTAGTACTTTTTCCTAAGGTATATTACGTTACTGTTACTATTTTAATATTATATAGTAAGTAAATTAATACACCTTATTCCTAGTATTGGGAATTTTAAGTAATATGCTGTTTGAATATCTGAACATCCCAAATAAAGAGCTTACTCCTTCAAAAACTTAATGAGAACCCAGATTTCTAATATAATTTAACCTCTTCTTATGATTACTTAATATTTAAAGTACTGTAACAGTGACACAACATTCTCAGGACCTTCTTGTACTAATTACAAGATGGTCTCCAAGTTCCTTTCTCCTTAAAAACAATTTTTTTTTGTTATTTCCCTTGTAAGCCTGGTAAAGATTATTTTTTTTCTAATGGTCTTTGTGCTGGTTTGCATAGCCCATCACTCCCAGCTCTTTTCCAGTTTGCCCTTTATACATAATGCACATTGGGAACCCAGGTAACCTGGACTAGTTAGAATTATGTGCATATGAGAACTAGTAGATGTTGTCAGGTGAGACTTTGGGGCATGAGAGCTTTAGACTTTGGGTTTTAAGATTTTAGATATTAGGTTTGTTTTTTTTTGAGGGTTCATAATATTGCCATTGGTGGATCGTCTAATCACTTGTAGTTTCTATGTTATATTCAAGTAATGGAATGAAGCCCTCAGGGTTTCAGGCCTGCCGTTATTTGTCTGTGATTTTATTTAGTAATCTGCATATTTAGTAATTGCACACAGCAGTGCAAAATGGTATTATTTTGCTTGCTGTAACTAGTGATGATGGTTACCTCAAAATGTTCTCACTTTGGCTGGAATAAATTTGTGTGAAAAACCCAGGGGAAGTAAAAACTACAGTTAGATAATAAATTTTTTCTTTATCTTAAGTGTGAAAAATTGTAGAAGCCACATGGATGTGTTTGCATTCTTAAGAGACTAGTTTTATGCTCTATTTCTGAAAAATGGAAATGGATGTTCAAAATGCTAAAGATATTTATATTATCTCTTTAAATAAAACATTTTGATTTGTTGTATGTGTGGAAAACTAATTACTTGGTATATTAGCTGACAAGTTTATTAGGGATCACCTTAACATAACTACAACACATGGAAGTTTCTGTGTTTCCTGTTTTCAACAAACTTTGGAAAAATTAGGTTTCAGGTTGTTTAACACTTGGCTTACAGCATTGTTTTTTATTTCCAGTAGATATATTCTCCATTATTTTATTTTCTTTGAAGAGAAATAAAACTGCTCACTGAGGAGAGTTGTTGAGTTTGGTTTATTGATAGCCTTTTATTGGGTTGGTGAAAAAGTCCATTTAGTTTTTTCCATAAAATAAAAGACTGTTCATTTTCACTGATAACATTATTGATTTAGATATTTTGAGTATGTCAGCTATCTCCTGCTATTGGCTTCTAGTGAGTAGAGGTCAGGGGTGCTGCTAAACATCTTCGAATGCATAAGACCACCCCACAGCAAAGAATTATTTGGCCAAAATGTCAATAGTACCAGGAAACTTTGCAGACCACTTTTGACACATTGGATCAGTCACAGCACTTTCTCCATATACCGCACAAATCTTTTTATTGCATTTCAGTTGCATTTTTACTTTCTTGAAATAATAAAGCATAATATGCTGAAAATGTTTCATATCCTCTTTCATCTTCAACATTAAAATGGCTGCACAGAAATTCACCAATTTGGATAAGTGTTTTAAAAATGAATGCTGACATGACAGTTATCACAATACAATCTAACAAAATTGTTTTGAATGAAGTTAAAGACAACTAAGTGCTAGTAGAGCCATTATACAGAAAAAACTAAACAAACCTTTTGGCCAACCCAATATTTCACCTGTAACATTGATGTTTCCAATGTTTTTTTTTTTGTTATTGTTATGACTTGCTAATTTAGCATTTATTAGATTAAATAACAGTAAAGGTTTTGTAGTGTTGTATAAAGGTTTTGTAGTACTATCTAGTGGTCTGGTTCTGTTAATTTCCCATTAGTTGAGGGCAAGCCAATAGACTGTTACTGTTCTTTTGTTAAAATTTTATCTATTTTCTCACTTCTCAAATTGCTTAAGTTTACTGAGAGATATATTAGCAATTATAAAGTACCTTGTAGTATTCAATGCTTATATGCTTAGTAATATGTTGTCTTGACTCAGAAGTTAAGACAGTAATTTTAAAGCACAGACTTTTGAGTTAAGTCAGCAATTTTCAGCCTTTTCATCTCATGACACTCGTAAACTAATTACTAAAATTTTGTGGCATACCAGCATATATTTTTTTTGCTGACCTGCCAATAAAAAATACCTATAATTTTGATTTATTCACACTGGATGGCTGTCATTGTGTTGGCTCTTGTCATTTTTTCAGTTGGACAATCTAAGGGAAAAGAGGTCCGTGCCCCTGACTAAACAGTCAGGTATTGCATGTTTTAAAAATTCTTGCATACTACCAGTTTGTCACGGTAAGCCGGTTGAAAGTCGTTTTGTTAAATAATCAGGAATCCCTTAATGCATGTTCAAGAAATTGAATTGGTATTTGGTAATGTTTTTAAAGAGGTCCATGTTTATCTTTTCTAAATTATGCTGCATATTATTCCTTAAAATTTCAGACTTAGTTTCATTAATGTACCCCTTACTAATGATTATAGAGTATGCATATGTGTGTGATTGTATATGTAACAAATTATAAATTTCATGAAACCTTACAGTATTTCTTTGATACAGTTGGGAGTCGTACATGAGCAACAATGGTCAAATTTAGGAAAGACAGGTCACCTAAATGTCAGAATTGCATATTAGTTAATGTAGGGTTATTTTGGTCATTTTGATTTTTGTTTCTCTCATTCTTTTATTATTATTTTTTGTTACACTAAAAATCTTTTTAAATTGTAGGGGGAAAAAAATAGTGGCTTTGATGTCCTTTACCATAACATGAAACATGGACAGATATCGACAAAAGAACTAGCAGATTTTGTACGAGAAAGGTATGTATTTTTTTGTCATTTAATAGTTCATTACAAGTTAAATTTTAGAATCCAATACCGGTAACTGAAAAAATTTTGGTTGTAAACCAATCAAGCACAGTCGTTAAAAACATACTATAGTTATTTTGGGTTGGCCAAAAAGTTTATGTGGATTTTTCCTTAAAATAAAAGAGACATTTTTAATTTTCACCAATAACTTATATTGACTTGGACATTTTGAGTATGTCGGCTACCTCCCACGTAGTATAACACTGATTTTTCTCAATTAATATCTCAATTTGATCACTATCAACTTCAACTGGTGTATCTGATTGTGGAGCATCATTCAGTGAGACACCTCCAGCATGAAACTTCACAAACCACTTTTGACCTTTTTGATCAGTCACAGCACCTTCTGCATACACTGCGCAAATCTTTTTTTTTTTTTTGCGTTTCAGTTGTGTGTCTACCTTTCTTGAAATAATAAAGCATAATATGCCAAAAATGTTGTGTATTTTTTCCATCTTCAGTATTAAAATGGCTACAGAAAAATTCACCAATTTCAATAAGGGTTTTTTTTTTTAATGCACACTTGTCACAATATGACAGTTGTCACAATACAGTCTTAACAAAATTGTTTCCAGTGAAGTTAAAGACCACTAAGCACTACTAGAAACTTCTTATGGAAAAAAACCAGATGAACTTTTTGGCCAACCCAATACTTTAAAGCAGGGGTCCCCAAACCCCACTCCAAGGACCTCTATTTGTCTGTGGCCTGTTAGGAACCAGGCCACACAGCGGGAGGTGAGCTTGAATGTAATGACCTTGAATCATCCTGAAGCCATCTCCCTCCCATCCCTGGTCCATGGAAAAATTGTCTTCTATGAGACTGGTCTCTGGTGTTGAAAGGTTGGGGACCACTGCTTTAAAGTACAAGTTATCTGTGATGTACACACAGAGGGCTAAATAGTGGCTCCAAGTGGCATTTGTTAAACTGGTTTACACATCACTGCTTGAAAATATTATCTACATATTTTTCATTGAATGTGATAGCAAGATGACACAATAGAAATATTGAGGAACTTTGAAGGATAAAATATTACCTTTTCTTTAAGTAAACATGTCAGTAAACAACATACTAAAATAACATGAAAAGACTACATTTTTTGAACTTATAATTATGTATTATTATAACTTATTTAAAACATTTCTAACTATATATTTTAAATTCTGCAAATTTACAAGATGTGATTGTCTTTAAGGCTGTATAATTTAATAGTTAACTTAGAAATGATTAAAGCTTTTTGGTGTACCCCACTTGGTAATTTTTAAATGAAAACATTTAAAATCTTTACCTTGATAATATAGGGATATTTTGCCTTTAGATACAATACTTCATTTATTCTTTCAACAGTATATATATAGTGTCTGCAGTGTACCAGGCACTTTTCTAGATTCTGGGAATATAGTGGTAAATATACAAGTTCTGTCTACTTAGAGTTAACTGACTGGTAGGAATCGGAGAACAAACTTTTTAATGTAACACCAATCTTCTTAAGGCTTCCACCACTCTACTGGAGTTAAGAGGGCCTCAAAGAGCTCTAAATACTACAGATAAAGCTATCCCTCTCTGGCTTCTGTATCATCATGGGCAGGTGTCAGGGAGAGGCCCAAATTCTGCATCTCTGGAATGTCCCCTAGCCTGCCTTCTTCCCCAACACTTGCATGACTACCATAACTAACCACCTTGAGACCATCAAGGCCATTGTTATTATGCCTTTTAGCCTTGTTTATGTCAGTCACTATAAGAAGTCCAGGACTCCTGGACCATTTCTTCTTTGCCTAGAATCTACCCCTTTATGATTCTGTAAACAGTTGAGACAATCCCTTCTTCTACTTCCCTTTCCCTGCTTCATTTTTCATTATAAAAATTAAACTGATACAGGCAATATTTATTTATTTGTCTGTCTTAGAATATAAACCTCATGAGAGCAGGGATTCTTTTGGTCATTTTTGCTTGTTACTCTATTTCCTATACTTCGGAGAGTGGTTGCCCCTTTAGTAGGCCCTCAGTAAAAATTTTTTAGAAAATAATTTTTATTTTTCAATTACAGTTGATATACATTATTAAATTAGTTTCAGGTGTACATTCCAGTGATTAGACATTACATAACATACTAAATGACATCCTGATAAATCTTGCACCCATCTAACACCATACATAGTTATTAGAATATTAATGACTTTATTGTCTATGCTGTATTTAACGTCCTCATGACTGTTCTGTAATAACTCATTCCCCCAAACTCCCTCCCATCTGGTAATTGTCAAAATGTTCTCTGTATCTGTGAGTTTGTTTCTGTTCTCCTTGTTCTTTATTTGTGTTTTTAGATTCAGTTGTTGATAGATACATATTTATTGCTGTTTTATTCATATTTTTAATATATTTTTCTTCTTATTAAAGAAGACCCTTTAATGTTTCATATAATACTGGCCTGGTGGTCATGAACTTTTTTTTTTCTGTCTAGGAAGCTCTTTGTCCGTTGATTCTAAATGATAGCTTTGCTGGGTAGAGTAATCTGGGTTGTAGGCCCTTGCTTTTCATCACTTTGAATACTTCTTGTCGATCCCTTCTGGCCTGCAAAGTTTCCGTTGAGAAATCAGCTCCCTTATAGATAACTAACTGCTTTTCTTTTGCTGCTTTTAAGATTCTCTCTTTGTCTTTAACTTTCTGTTTTAATTATGATGCATCTTGGTTTGGGCCTCTTTGTGTTCATGTTGTTTGGGGCTCTGCCCTTCCTGGACTTGTATTTTCTTTCACCAAGTTAGGGAAGTTTTCTGTCATTTTTTTCAAATAGGTTTTCAATTTCTTTTCTTTTTCTTCACATACTTCCATGATGTGAATGTTGGTACAATCGAAGTTGTTCCAGAGGCTCCTTATACTATACTCATTTTTGGGGGCTCTTTTTTTTTTCCTTTTTGCTGTTCTGATTTAGTGTTTTTTTGCTTCTTTATATTCCAAATCACTGATTTGATTCTAGGCTTCTTCTACTCTACTGTTGATTCCCCATAAATTATTCCTCATTTCAGTTAGTGTATCATTCATTTCTGACTGGTCCTTTTTTATGCTGTTGAAACTCTCACTGACTTCATTGAGCATCCTTATAACCATTGTTTTGTCCTACAGAGTGGGACTTCAGCAGGGGTGTGGTGCCCACTGAGTTTGTCCTTTGAGTGTGTTGCTTGTGGAGGTGGTTGGGTGATGATGCTTCTAATGGCCTGAAGCCATCGACTGGGTACACTGGCTCCGGGGCCTCCCAGGAGGTATAGACCAAAGTCAGCTGCTGCCTGTGTTCTGCTCAGGGCCATCCAGTATGAGCTACAAAATAATCTGCAGATGGCTGCTACTTGTGCTGGCCTTGGAGATGTCCAGCAAGGCCAAGCTGTGAACCAAGGCTAACTGTTGCTAGTGCCACAGTTGGGGCCATTTGGTGAGAGGTACAGGGCATACTAAGGTCCGATGCTGCTAGTTGAGAGATGGTAAGGACATCTGAAGCATGAGCCAAGATAGGCCATTTGTATGGAAAAGCTACTGGAAACAGCTTGGTGGGCCTGAAATTTAAGTGGGATGGGGCCTCAGGGAATCACCAGGGTCTGGAAAACTGTGTGAGCCAGGTTGATGGAGTCTCAGATATGGTACCCACCATCAAAGGAACATTGGCCTCTGCTAGCACTTCTGTCTGAGGGAAAGCTGCTCCTAGTTTTTGCCCTGATTCCAGACAGTTCATTTCATTCCCATATGTCACTGGTCCTTTTTAAGCTGCTACCCCATTGCTGGAGCTTAGAGGGAGTCCAAGAAGTCCATGCACAGGCCTTTAAGAGGAACTGCTTGGGACTCCAGAAGCCTCTGTCTTCCTTAGCCTCAACCCCCGCTGTTTTTTATAGCCAGAAATTATGGGGATTTTTCTTCCTGGCACTGGAACCCTGAGCTGGGAGGCCTGCTGTGGGGCTGGGACCCCTCAATTATCAGGGGGATCTTTGAAGAAGCCCAGATACTTGTCCAAATTTTTATCTGCCACATGTTGGGTGTGGGACGAGCTCCTTCAGTGTCTTAGCCTCTTCTACCAGTCTCTATGTGGCTTCTTCTTTAAGTCCCTAGTTGTATGACCTTTTATTCAGCCAGATTACAGGCAGTTCTGAAGGATGGTTTTTCTGTAGCTGCAGTTTTGACGTGGCTGTGGGAGGAGGCGAGTACTGTGTTTACCTATGTTGCCATCTTGACTGGAAGTTTAGTAAAGATTTGTTTTGATAGAATGAATCTATAACTTCATTATCCTAATCTAAGACATTATTTTTTTAAAATTTTATTTTAATCATTGTTCAAGTACCAAGACATTATTTTAATCCTATCCATTATTGTTGCCTGAACTTTAGCAGTAGCACCTAACTGGTCAATCTACATTCATTCTTGTTCTTCTGAAGTTTATTCTTTGCACTTTAATTGGAGTGCATTTTAAAAACCACAGATCAGTTTGTTACTTCTGTTTAAGCCATTTGAAAGGTTTCCCATTACTCTTATGGTAGGCCTTCATAGTCTGACCTAAAACTACCTTCCAAACTTTAGGTCACACCAGACTCTTTATACTTTTCTCTCCAGAGCCATTGATCATATTCACAGGCTTCTTCTATTCCAGGCTTTGTACATGCTTATTCCTGTCTCCACTTTGTTAATTCCTTTTTACCCTTAAGAGCTCAGCAATGTAGTCACTTTTTTAGGAATAATTTTCCTAATGTCTTTGACTAGATCTGAAAACTTGCTAGATTCTCTCTCAACTTCATATAGCTTTTTTGGTATTTATAACATTTTGTAATTACTCATTTTTGTTATTTTTTTTTCTTCCTCTATAAGGGACAAAGTATGCAATATTCTGTTGTATCACAGTGCCTAGCGTGGAACCTGACACAACTAGATCCTTATGTTTTTTGGAAAGAGTGAATGGGAAAGAAAGGAAGAAAAGATA